ACTTAGGTAGTGAGTTTACGAGATGCTTGCTATCAACTTTAAGTTTTAACTTTATTTAATATTATTTAAGAAGAATTTTTTTTTTGTAGGTATTCAATTTTTATTTTCATATAAAAACCTTTAAAATCACAGGGACCTCATAAACTTTGAAATTTAATTGGTCAAATAATCCAGTATATAATCACACAAAAAGACCATGATCATTTCTTAAATATTGTCTTCCACTAATTACATAATGGGAGACAAATGCATGTGAAACTAGATTAAACTTCTAACATAAAATAATTCCAAATACCATGCTCTCTACACCATAGGAGGGCCAATAGTGTCGATCTTACATATTCATCGAATATATTTGTGAAGGACAAATTATAACCATATATTTTATCAAGTGTGATTGGTCGGCGTTATGACCACATAATTCCATTCAATTTTATGCATTTTCTAGTCCCCGGCCCATTATTTGCACAAACTTTCTTGTTGTCTTGTTTTATTTTTTTATGTTTGTGTTAAAAAACAAAAGATTCCAACTTATAATCGATGCTAAATATAAGTTAATAATGGTTACTTTTTGGTGAATGAAGAAGGGAATACCATAGAAATGAATTTTGATTGGTGTTAATTGTAAACGACGTTATGATTTGCTCGGATCAAATTTTAAGAGATCAAAGAATCTTAATTATATCATCATTTAGCTATCATCGTACGACAAGGATGATATTATTTTTCATTAGAGACGTTGATAATGTTTATATAATTGTTTGGTGGGCATCATATGCTATAGAACCAAATGCGAAAAGAGAGAAATCACATTCAAATAATGATGAAATATTCACTTTTACATACTCTGCATGCCAATCTATCCATTTGATTTCATTGTCTCTTTTTAAGGATTGTTGATATGATAACAAAGATAATTAAAATAAAAAGGCAATATAGGTGATCTTGTAATTTTATATCATAAAATATTTTTATTACGTATCCAAAAAGAAGTATCTATGAATCACACACTTATAATTTTATTGACATGTAAATTACATGTTCGACCTCATACAAGAGGATCTTACGAAAAAAAAACGGTGACATTGGTCTTAAAACTCTTATTTCACTCACATAGTGGTGGACCGACTGGACAAACATATGTCTCATAGAGGTGGGTGTGTATGACCATGTGAGTGAGATAAAATTCATTTAAAATTAACTTTTAATTTCTATGTTATTATTAGTGTATATGTATTCTTAGCCCAGTGTACGTATCATACCTTCACCCGGGTGGACTTCAGTATCTTAACCCGCCCTTATTAGTGTATATGTATTCTTAGCCCAGTGTATGTATCTTACTTTCACCCGGCTGGACTTCAGTATCTTAACCCGCCCTGACTTATCTTATGTTGTGCAATATATCTGTCTATTTATGCACGATCCTAGGGAACCGCACATGGATGCTTTAAAGTGTATACTACGATATGTTTGCGTTACTCATGACTATCAGTAGCGAATATACGTGGATCACTTGACCCATCTATATATATATATATATATATATATATATATATATATATATATATATATATATATATTGAAAAGTTCAATAGAGAACCATTATTAATAAAGGAACCAAACAACCAATTCAAAGCGTAAGAATTTAAAACGATCAACGGCAAAAGGAAGGGTTGTAAACTTTTATAATGAACACACATGTACCGGATTATAACAAAACTCACTTCTTTTTTTCATTTAAAATTTTTTTTAGGCCAAGTTTTTTATCGAAAAAAAAAACCGAATATACCGTTGTTCACGATTTTTCGTCATCTTTCCATAGAGATCCATGATGATATATAAAAAGCGAACTTTTTTTTTCGAAAAAAATTAACTTAATTTTCTTAATTTTTTCAATATTTAAGTTTATTTTTATAAAAAAAACTAATTATACCAAAAATATTAATTTTTTGTACTCTATTAATTAACATCAACACCGATTAAAAAAAAAAAAAACCTCGAACAGTGTAGATTCACACTGTGAATCTAAACTGTAAATATTTCAATTTTTAACATTCACAATATGAAAAATCTCGAGCAGTTTAGATTCACATTGTGAATCTGAATTACTATTATGCACACTGTGAATCTGAGAAGGTTCAAAAAAAAAAAAAAAAAAAAACCTCGATCAGTGTAGATTCACACTGTGAATCTAAACTGTAAATATTTCAAATTTTAACATTCACAATGTGAAAAAGCTCCGATCAGTTCAGATTCACACTGTGAATCTGACTTATTATTATGCACACTGTGAATCTGAGGAGGTTTACAATATGAATCTGAACAGGTTCACAATGTGAATCTGAACTGAAATATCGTTTTTTTTAACATGAATATGAATCTATGTTTAAAAAGTACAAAAAATATGAATTTTGATATATTTATTAATTATTTTCTATAAAAAATTGACCTTAACTTTTTTTTATCAAAGAAAATTCAGTGAGTTTTTTTCGAAAAAAAAAATTCGTTTTTTATATATCATCATGGATCTCTATGGAAAGAGGACGAAAAATCGTGAACAACGGTATACTCGGTTTATTTTTTTGATAAAAACATGACCTAAAAAAATTTTAAACAAAAAAAAGTGGTGAGTTTTTTTTGTAAATGATGGATTTTTTGGTATAATCCGGTGTGTGTGCGTCCAATGTAAAAGTGTACATCTATTTCCTTGGCCGTTGATCGTTATGATTTCCAACGCTCACAATTGGTTCATTGGTTACTTGGTGTGTATATATATATATATATATATATATATATATATATATATATATTATTAAATTTGTGGACTATCTTAAATAATTGAAATGAACTACCCTAATACTTTTGGCAAGAAAAAAAAACAAATGCAACTCATATTTTAAATTTTAGTAGCCCAAGATTTTTGAAGGAATAATTCAATATGAATAGCCCACTATAAGATAAATTTAAAAAAAACACAATAATCATTAATTAGTAGTCGGTCCCAACGTCATTTCCTTCTCCGAGCCTCAGCTCCCGCTTTACAACCACTGATCCACTATATGGTGACATTACAATCGACCATCAATCGATCAGGTGTGTCGGTTGTCACTTGCCACTTGCCACTTGCCACCGCTGGCATCCGCCCCTCAGCCGTAATCGCGCATTCCCACTTCTTTCCTTCACAACCTTTAGACCCACAATTAGTACTTTTTTGATTTTTTTTTTCATTTTCTATCGATTTCGGTTATATAGTAAACCATGTGGATTTACGTTCTACACTCGCCACTGATGACTACATAATACAATTGCATCCCTCATTGACTATGAGTCTTATTGTGTGTTCCGATGCATATTTGGAGGACGCCCAACCACTAGGTAATCCATCAGTAGCTACTACGTCTTCATATACGACAATCTCTTATCATTGGTCAGTGAAAATCCAATAGATTGTTTCTCGGCCTAGTTCTAAAGCGGAATATAAAGGTGTTGCCAATGCCATAACCGAGTCTTGTTGACTATGAAACTTGCTCAGAGAGCTACACTCGCCTCTCAACAAAGAAACCTTTGTTTATTGTGAAAATGTTAGTTTTGTATACTTACCGTCAAATCTTATGCAACACATGCACATATATCTTCATGAAAGGGCTAACTACATCACAATCTTTTTTGCACATATTTAGATCGATTTTTAGTGTCCACTCTCGTCCTTTTCCTCAAACTGAGGGGTATTTTAGTGTATATGTATTCTTAGCACATTATATGTATTTAGATACTTAGCCTATTTATTGTTATTAGCCTAAATACCATACTAACTATGTATATAGTGTTGATTAATGCAAAACCTCTCATTCTATGTGATGTGTCTTAAATTATACATATTTTAAGGGATATTTCAGATATTTTTATGAGCATTTTAATGATAAAAACAAGACCAAAAATGCTTAATTTCTGTATATTTGTATTTTGCAATCGAAAATGTGTTGATGTGTGAATTTGTGTAAAAATATTGTTAGCTAAATTTTAAATTTATAAATCCTCAATTATCTCAACTAAACTATCACACACTTTATAGAGAGTGTTTGGTCGTGCACTAGCAGTCTAACACTACCATCATTAATTATAGTCATCCCTGAAGTCATATAACATGGGTGCTCACTAATTTTCGGTGTCCCCAACAACACATGAAACTATCTAGCTAGTAAATTTACCTTGTTCCTTTTTCAACATCAATGGACACAACATATCAAAATGGACATAAATTTTGTTCGAAAAAGAGTTTATCTAGATATTCCATTCTCATACCAATATGTCGGTATCTTCACCAAAAGTTTACCGCACGACAATCATTCCTCAATTTCAAATACAATTTGAGTGTTCAACCAACTACCCCTCCATCTAAAATGGCTGTTATCATTATTAGCATATATTTTTAAATATCCTTTATATTTACAAAGATATTAATCCCATTAATGTTGGAATTCTTGTTATATTTGTACTCTATATATATTTCGTATATTGGAAAGAGAAGAGCAAGGTTGAATACTAAAATTTTAGATGCTAGTATGTGTATTTAACGGTTTTAAAGATAATAAATCTTAATTTCGAAGATTAATATATAATATGAGATGGTATCTAAACCAGCTAAAGTTCTCATATACCCTAGAATGACATAATAGCCATCACAAAGTTAACCATATACGATCGAGCAAGCACGAAGGAGGCAATTTCTTATATCGCTTTCCTTGCAATCTATATCAAAAAAAAATATGCCTCATAGCAGCCTTAATTTACTATCTAGCTGCCGAAGTGGGTCCTTAATATTCCTACCCATGACTTGAAAACTATATACGAAAGACCATAATTTGACTTCGTGTGTAACGGGTACTTTTCAACATCCATATGGATTCCAAACTTCTTTATAAAACTACAATTAGAGCAAATATGGTAAAATAAAATCAATATAGACGTCATATCAAAGTTCTCTTATACCCTTAAAAGTGGCACGAAGTTTCCTGCTACATGCTATTGCTCAGTTTGTCTTTATTGCCTTCGATCTCCTATAAATTGAGACCACCAACTTTCTGCATTCAATATCAAAAACAACTTCACAAACACACAAACACACAAACACATAGCGAAAGAGTTCAGAAAAGGAAAAAATGGCGAACTTCCCATTGATCGACATGGAGAACTTGAATGGTGGAGAGAGAGGTGCTACAATGGAGTTGATCAAGGATGCTTGTGAAAACTGGGGATTTTTTGAGGTATATACTTTATTCTTAGAATCTAGATCATGTGTTCAAATTCATGGCTTTAAAAGTTTACATTTTTTTTTTGTGGGTCTTTTAGTTGCTGAACCATGGGATTTCTCATGAATTATTGGACAAAGTTGAGAAAATGACGAAGGAGCATTACAAGAAATGTATGGAGCAGAGGTTTAAAGATATGGTGGCAGCTAAAGCATTAGAAGGTCTGAAGGCAGAAGTTACCGACATAGATTGGGAGAGCACTTTCTTCTTACGTCATCTTCCGACTTCAAACATCTCGGAAATCCCTGATCTTGAAGAAGAATACAGGTAAAAAAGAAAAAAGAAATATTATTTAGGTATTAACTACATATCATTATATGAACATACAATCGATACGTGTATTTGCAGGAACTTAATGAAGGATTTTGCTGGTAAGCTAGAGAAATTAGCAGAAGAGCTTTTGGATTTGTTGTGTGAGAATCTTGGATTAGAGAAAGGTTATCTAAAGAAAGCGTTTCATGGATCAAAAGGTCCAAATTTTGGAACGAAAGTTAGTAATTATCCTCCATGCCCGACGCCGGACTTGATCAAGGGTCTCCGAGCACACACCGACGCTGGCGGCATCATTTTACTCTTCCAAGACGATAAAGTCAGCGGTCTTCAGCTTCTCAAAGACGGTGAATGGATCGATGTTCCACCCATGCGTCATTCCATCGTCATCAATCTCGGTGACCAAATTGAGGTAGCCTAAAACCGTAATAATCCTTCCCAAAATTAACAAATTTAATTTATCAAATTCATGGTGGGTAACTCATTATGAACGATGGTTAATCGAATTGCAGGTGATTACTAATGGAAAGTATAAGAGTGTGATGCATAGAGTTATTGCTCAAACAGATGGAACAAGAATGTCCATCGCGTCTTTTTATAATCCGGGGAATGATGCTGTGATATTTCCGGCACCGGCGTTGTTGGAAGAGACAGCAGAGAAAGAACAATCGTACCCAAAGTTTGTGTTTGATGATTACATGAAACTATATGCAGGATTGAAGTTTCAGGCGAAAGAGCCAAGGTTTGAAGCCATGAAAGCAGTTGAAGCTAATGTGAGTTTGGGTCCTGTTGTAACAGCTTAGAAGGTGTCATGGTTTGAGTTTGAAGAATAGAAGTTTATAAACTTTTTCTTTTTAATTTCTTTTAAGGGGTGTCGGAAATCTATAAAATTCGACCATAGAAAAGTGTGCTTACTATTTATAGCATAGTGACAAAAGGGTGATGTGCTAATTTTTAATATTTGTTTGTAAGTTTGAAGATGTACTATTAACTATTAAGAATAAAATCTCGTGTGCAATTGTCTACCTCTACAATATCATTTTACGTTTGCTTATATTTATCTATGAGAAAAAGGTGTACAAGTTAACAATAACAAACAATAAGACTATAAATACGCATTCAACCTCAAAATTTTATGGACACCCCCGGACATGCCAAGCTCGCCAACACCTTCTCTTGGCGCGCGTCAAGAGGGCTCGCCAAGGATTGCTCGCCGGTGTAGCGTGAAGAGAAAGAAATGAATAAATGGCTTTTTCAGCTTTTGACCAAAAATAAAGACCATGTGACCATTTTTCTTTAAAAAAAATCTCTTAAAATTAAAAAAAACAAAAAAAAACAATTCAAATTTTTCTTAGAACTATTATAAATACGCATTTAACCTCAAATTTTATTACACACAATCTCATTCTTTTTCTCATAATCGCTCAACTTCCTATCTACCATGTCTTCTTCAAAACAATCTGTAACCCTAAGAAGAAAGAAAAAGTTCTTCAAAATCCGATAACACACATTTTCATCAAATCATTCATTAAAACCTACATCACCGATACCAAATCTTTCACCAAACCCTACATCTTATAGACCATCGTTCGATCAACCTCTCTACTCACCCGCAGATTACCATTTTGCAGGCATAGCTCCAAATATGTATCAATATCCTCAATGCATACCAATTCCAAAATAAAAGATTTTCCAAACCCAAACGGAAACTAGTTTCCAACCTCAAAACACCATCCAAATCGAATATTTTTTAACAAACAACTCTTTCCTTGTAGTTTCCAACTGGTCAGAGGAAGTAAACCAATATAAAGATCTCTAAACAATAACCCTCTTTAAAAAACGTTATGGGTATTATTAGGGCCAAAATCGTCAATCCTATGCAGGATCCCGGATCTTCAAGAACTCTCAGGATCCCGGATCTTTAAGAACTGTCATGATCCCGAACATATCTCAAGATCCTGACCATTATCATCATTATTATTTCCTAACATTTTTAACGGATATATTTCTAGTCTTTTTCTCACATGTGCAGAAACAGTCAACATAAAACCCATTCTTAATGAAGTAACTTTTTTACCAGACAAAAGACCCTAGAATACCAAGTCAAACCAACATGTCATATTTATTCGAAAGGGTCCCAAAAATATCGGACTTATGGTTACTTAGACTAGACTATAATTACACTTGTACTTTGCACACTACACACAACTACACTCACTGCAATACTTGTACTCATTTACATAGTTTCATTTATGTAATCCATATTTCAATTATTACAATTAAACAAGGCAGGTGATCATTATCACCTCCCAAGGTTTTATGTCGGAGATCCTAGCAAGGATCAAGGGATTCCCTTGTAAATCACTTGTACAATCTTGTTCTAATTTTGATAATCACTTCACTTACAATACCACAGCCTCTTCATTTCAGAGCTTTTTGATTCATAAAAATGGGATATTGTTCTTCCCCTATTCATCCATGCTAGATCTATTAAGATTTTGGGTCATGAATAAGATTTAGGGTCGGATTTTGGACTCCTTGTAGCCATGCAAAGGCAAAAAGGTTGCAACTTTATGAATTTAGATGTTCATTAGGGTTAGATCTAAACGTTGGACGTTAGGTATTTAAGCATTAATAACATTAGTTAAGAGTTTGGACTTCAGGTGGTTACGTCGGGCGTAACCCCTAAGTATGCATGGGGTAGTGGGCTTTTGCCCCATAACCCTTTTGAGAACTCGCAGTATGCATGACGTAATGGAGAGTACACATGGGGTACTCCAAGAAACCCATTTGGGCCATTTTTTGGGCCTTGGGTCATTAGGGGTTTTGGGCCTTGTATAGTTGGGTCATGTATGGGAAGGGCCAAATGGTCTTTTTCCCTTAGTAAGATAAAAGATGATTTGGACCATTGATTATGGGTTAAAACCCCGATTATTAATTAAGGTTGACTTTGGGTTATGATCAGTGTTAGGATTCATGGTGGCAACAACTCGAGTGTGTGATTCGGTTATCTTCGGTTAGAGGTGAGTCTTCTCACTGTGTTTATGGGCCGAAGGCACTAATGTCGGCCCACTAAATTGTGTGTGTAGGATGCTAGATGTCTTTCTGACTCTTGCATGTTTGTAGGACTGGGTTGAAATAAACCCACGGCTTGGGCCCTAAGGCTACACTCATGATTGTATGATTGGGTTGAAACAAACCCTAGGGTTGGGCCCATGAGTATATAATGGGTTGAAAAGAAACCCCCAGGGTTAGGCCCATGATTGTATGTTGGGATAGAATATACCCTAGGGCTAGGCCCAGTTTTACGTTTGGTATGTAGTACTTTGGGGAACTCACTAAGCTTTATGCTTACAGTTTATGTTTATGATTTCAAGTACTTCCGGTACGAAATGGAAGGGCCCGGCGTAATGGCACAGCGTCCCCCTCATGATTCTACACTTATGGCTTTTTGTACTATGATGCTTTTGACATTTTGTATTGTGGTTGACTTTAAGACATTTAATGTATGAAAATGATGGTTTTTAAAATAAAAAAAAAATTTATCACTGGTTTTGGATTGTTACAGGCCTGGTTGGGTCGGTTTTTGGGGTAAAACCGAACCCAATCCGTGTATTTTGGTTTCTGGGTTTTAGAACCCGTCGGGTTCGGGTTTTTTTGGTTCTTTGGTCAATTTCAACGGTTTTTTGGTTCAACCCATTGGTTGATGGGTTTTGGGTTTAAACCCGTGGGTTTTAGATTGTATCCGATTTTTCAACAAATCTTTATAACTTAAAAAATGAAACAAATTCAACAAGCTATATTAAAAAAACTAAAAAAAACCAATTCAACACCAACACAACATCAAAAGTATGTTGCTAAAATTATATAAAAACCAAGTTTAAAAACAACTAAGTTTAACAAGTTTTTAGAATAAAAACAAGTAACAAACAACCAGGTAATAATCTCGGTTACACTAAAACCACAACACAAACCATATATGTGGTGTAATTTAGTATCAAACTCCACCTCCTTTTGCATTTTATGTATATTACATTTGACATAGAAAGTCAAATTATAGCATACCATTGAAAAATATGTAATAATCTCGGGTTGTGTAAGTTTCAAACCGAACGGGTTGCGTCGGTTTCAGGTACTAAAATCGAACCGAAAACCCATCTTTTGGTTTTTAAAAATTTAAACCCAAATTTGATGGTTTAGTTTCGGTTTCAATTTCTCACTATTGGTTTTGACGGTTTTTGGGTTTTCGGTTTTGGTTTTGCTCACCCCTACTTACTTATGCAGTTCTAGTTTATTTGGACTTGATCTTTTTGGGCCTGAACTTAAAGTCACTTTTATACACATCAACCTACAATAGGTGATGACAGAATTGAAACGAATGTATAGTGTTAGCCACACTATCTACCCAACTACTAGTGCCTTAGCAACTTTGCGACTTTTCATGATCCAAGTGCGAGTCTTGTGCTTTGGGTAGTATAGGTCTCTGCTACCTTTGAAACTTACTCATACTTGTCCCAAGAATTGTCTCGCAATTTCCAAGTCACTTCCAATACTATACACGATGACCTCTAAACGTATATATGTATGTGTCCCATGAGCACATACAATAGGTTTTCCTAAACTCCACTAGGGCTTGTATATTTTCCGATGCTCTTTCTATGAATATATGCCCTATCAAGCATATATTAAACTTACTATACTCTCTTTTTAAGATTCCCTTCCACTTCACCCTACTATTAGTTGAGGAAGAACTTCTACCAAGATTAACTAATTATTGGATGAATACAATTACATGCCGCTAGAATCACATTATGTTGACAGAAATATCTGACAATACGACGGTTAAACTTAAACAAGAGCTGCGCAATAACACCAAATCAAGAAATCTAAAACTATTTAATTTTGGGAGCATGCAACCTAACGTACTTGTCAAATACCTAATTAATATCAATATAGGTTCTAAGCAAGAATTAACAAGCAGATCTCTAAGCTATAAGACATCTTAATTATAAACAATTCTATTTAGCAATTCGTGAAAACATCCCTAGCCTACATACTAGCATGTATTTCTAACATTTTACATATCAGCAACCATAACAATATGGATATTTTGGAAATCATTTTCCTTTCTGAGCTTTGGCTAATTGTACATAGTACATCCTTTCCTTTTGTATTATTCTTTTTATGAAAAGATTTATTAATTACTCAGATCCTTATTTTGAGTCTGCAATCACACGATTATTTATCCTGTTCAGTCAAACTAGGGCTCTGATACCAACTTGAAATGTCCTCATTTTCACCCAAAATTTTCATTTTTATTTATTCAAGTATTTCAGAGTATAATTACATTGTGGAGAAACATTTAGTGAATGTTCGTGTGTACAGTCGAACTGTAACGCCTGGATTCTTGAGATATATGTTATTTGTTGATTTGTGAGTTTTGGCGGTTGCCACGACATGGTAGAGGAAAAACCACGATGTGATGATGGAAAATTGGTTGCATACTCATTTCATCCACCATGGCATGACATTCTTTTGGCCATGACATGGTAGCCGTATGGAGGTCTAAGCCCTAAATTTTGGGGCTTGCACCCTATTTACCGGAAGTAATAGATAGGGTTTCACCTCTTATTAGCCTCTAACACCCAGAAACCTAAACCATATCCCTCTTTGAATCTCTTGACTCAATTGGTGTGTTTTTGTGATATTGGAAGGGAAAAGAAGCAGCTTTTTTTCATAGATCAAGCAAGCTACTTAGCTTTACTCCTTGTAAGCATCTTCTGGTTCATTTGTGAGTTCTCAAGTTTTCATCTTGATGATTTTTACCATATAGATCTAGGTTATTTGGTATGTTTTGGTCTATAGTTAAGTTTTGGATGGTTGAAAGAGATAAACTTTGCAACTTTATGAATCTCTGGGTCATCTGCTGTAGTTTGTGGATTGGATCTAAAGTTTGGTTGTATTTTGAAGTCGTGCATGAGACACTTTTAAAAAAGATGGACTTCGGGCTTAAGGGAATAGGTGCT